CCTGAGGTGGGCACATGCTCAGAATGTTTGAGAACAGCAAAGAGGCTAGTGCAGCTGGAACAGAATGAGCAAGGGGAAGGCATAGGAACCAAGTGTGGAAATGGGAGGGCGGGTAAAGGAGGGTCCAGTTCTTACTGTAGACCAAAGTAAGTGGTGTGCTTTTTATTCTTCACAGAGTGGGGAGCCTTTGAAGGCTCTAGAAAGGGAAGGAAGTAGTCCATTTTTTTTTTTTAATTTTTTTATTTATTTGACACAGAGATCACAAGCAGGCAGAGAGAGAGGGGGAAGCAGGCTCCCCACCGAACCGAGAGCCCTATGCGGGGCTCGATCCCAGGACACCGGTATCATGACCTGAGCCGAAGGCAGAGGCTTTAACCCACTGAGTCACCCAGGTGCCCTTCCATTTTGTACTTTTTTTTTTTAAGATTTTATTTATTTATTTGACAGAGATCACAAGTAGGCAGAGAAGCAGGCAGAGAGAGAGGAGGAAACAGGCTCCCTGCTGAGCAGAGAGCCCCATGCGGGGCTCAATCCCAGGACCCTGGGATCATGACCTGAGCCGAAGGCAGAGGCTTTAACCCACTGAGCCACCCAGGCGCCCCACCATTTTGTATTTTAAAACAAACTCTTCAAGCTGCTGTTGGGAGAGTGTTTGTGGGTGGGTGGTTGGGCCACTGACAAAGCAGAAAGGCCAGAGGCCAGCAAGTGGCAGCCTAGACCAGGCTGGTGGGGAGAGAGAGAAGCCAGTCTCTATAAAATGTGCTTTGTTGGGGGGGCATTCCCAGGCTTCTGGAGTGTGTAAAAGAGTGCATGAGGTCACCGCTCTCTGAGAAGAAGGCCATTGTGGGGGAAGAAAGGATTCAGATTAATTCTGGACACTCTCAGCCTGGGGATGGCCTTGGGACTTCATATGGAGCTGCCCGGTGCACCGGGCTGTTAAGATAGGAGGCGATCGTGCTCCCGGCTGCGGGCAGGTAGCCCCTCTCCTGCAGGTCAGTTGGGAGGGACTTCATGAGGGATTCTGGGGGCAGGAGGAAGATGCCTCTGTTCTTGTGGTCCACACAGCCCTCAGGCCTCCTTGCCTTGGTCCCTGTCTTCCCTTCACCAGTGCTGTTTCCTCCGTCCTACTTGGCCATTTCCTGTCCCGCTCCTTTGCTCACAGAGGATCCCTTCACATTAAAACCCCTCCTTTTCTTGCCACTGGGTGACTGGGGTCCCCGGGAGGTCTCCCAGAAGATGATCGCTCTCTCTTTGATCCAGAAACCACGGTAACAGTAGTTGCAGTGGCTCAGCCCATGATTCTAATTTTAGTACGTGTGCTGCGAAGCGAGCACCCAGCCCGTGATGCTAAAGCGTCCTGTCTTCATCTCTTTGGCTCCTCCTCAGGGCGTATTGGGTATCACACCCCATTTTCTGGGTGAAATGATCCATGCGCCCAAGGCTGCTGCCTCCCCATGACCCTCACCCAGTTAGTGCAGTGGGTGGGGGCGTAGGGTAGTAGCCAGCCTTCAGGCAGCCCGGGTTTAAGCCCCAGCCCCAACACTGCCTCGCTGGGAGGTGAGCTGGGGCGTCTCCCCCCCGCCCCGAGCCTCTCTGTAAAATGGGGCAGTGACGGACCAATTTCGAATGCACCCATTTTGAGGATTCAGTTGGCGGGAGCGCAGTGCATACATATTTGCATTAGTTACATTCATGAAGTCTGACAATTAGGGAACGAGGACTGAACCATGGCTCCTGGGGGAAATCGAGGCCCTGCAGGACTCTGGTCTTAATTTCCACCAACCAATCAATACATAACCTTGTTTTCTGAGTCTTTCTGTTTAAAAACAATATACTGATGATTTATTCATGCTGAATTGGCTAATAGTGCTATAACTTGTGCCTGAACAAGGTCTGTCGGATACAGTTTCTCTACAGGCAAGTCATAGCTTTCTTGTGCTCAGCAATGCTGGATGGCACTTCAGTGCTATGGAGAAATCGCCAGCAGAAAGAACAAAATGTGAAAAAACATAGCCCTGAGTAGGCCAGGAAAATCCTCCTTGTTCACAGGATAAGAGCTAAAACAAGAAGGCTGGGCATCCCCTTGTTTCAGGCTCAGGAAGTGTGCCCTGGGTGTCTGGCAATGCCCACAAAAAGCCCGCGAGTATTGGCTTTGGGGTTACAAACCTGTTACCAAGTAGGTGAATTCACAGGTACGGTCACAGGTACTGACCGCAGATGAAGTGCTGGCTCGGGCCTGGCCCAGTCGGTGCTTGACGAGGGCCCCTGTCCGCACTGGAACATCACGAGCAGGAGTGCATCCGGGTTTCCGGACAGGACTCCAAGAGGGTGGCCGGGGCTCCCTGAGCTCTGTTGCTTTGTCTTCCCCAGTGTGCTGCCTTTGTGACCTCTTGGCTCCTACGGACTTGGGCGTCCGAGGCAGGTGTCGATTCTGGAGGCCCTAAAGGCCTCCACTGAAGGGTTTGTTCCAAGTCCATGGGGTGGGTTGTGGCATCATTGAAAGGTTTCAAACTAAGCCATGACATGGTCGGATTTCTCCAATGGCTGGCCAAGGTGGAGGAGAGACCAGAAAGACAGGACAGGATGTTGGGGGCCAGGGAGGAGCAGGCCAGGTGGTCTAGGGAAGGCTGGTTCTAGGTCAGGGGGACCAGGAATGGATGGGAGAGGCAGTTAGGAAGCACGTGGTTGTGGGGAGTGGTAGAGGGTTCCCGGGAAAACGCTGGGGTAAGATGTGCCGCCGGGCGCTCTCACTGGAGTTTGGACGTCTGACGTTGCCAGCTCTGAAGGCACAGGGAGGGAGGTGGCTTCCAGACAGACCTGGTGGGAAGGTGGGGTGATGTGAACTATTGGCAGGAATGTGGCTCTAAGCGGTCAGTCTGTCCCTGATCCTGACCTAGCTGCTCGCAATTCCCTCCCAACTTCCTCTGTTGCAGGGGAGGAAACAGAAGAAGGGAGGCCTTTGAGGCTGGTAGATGGAAGCCTTGAGCAGGTTTTCCCGCAGCACACAAATGTGCGTGTAGTTGTGTCGTTTGACAGGTTGCTCACTGGTGAGAGAGGGAAGGGGAGCTTACAGGCCCTCAGCCCTTCCTGGGACAAGAAACCTGGCAGGGCGGGCAGAGGGAGGAGGCAGCTCTGGCTCCGTGGTCAGCTCTGTCTGTTCACGTGGGGCTGATGGGGGCCCCACGGCCTCTTCTGTCAAACCTGCTGCCGTGGCTCCCACACTGTCTGGGGCCCCCTGCATCCGTGCCTCTTCAGGAGTCTAGGCCTCTGCTGCAGCTCCCCTGCCAAGCCTGGGCGTCTGGTTGCTGGCAGCAGGAGGGCAACACTGGGCTCCAAGGCCCTCGCAGGGGCCTACCTGCCTGGGGTTGTTGCGTCTCTATCTCTTGGGAGATGGAGTCACAGCCATTCTACTGAGCGCCGAAAGCTCTGGTCATCTTGTTACATGTTGATGTTTAAAAAAAAAAAAATGAAGAAATGAAATAATTCTGACCTGATAGAGTTTGCTGGATAAGATCTTGAAGCAGAGGCAGAAATGAGACAAAGGGAGCTTCTACTTAGAAGAAGCAAGGACTTGTGCGCTGTGGGGCAGGGAGGCTGGGCTGGATGTCTGGGGCCGGGGGCAGACTGCATGGAGGAGGCCTTGCACAACCGGCTCCTGTCTGAGCCTGGGCTTGCTGGACTGGCGGAGCCAAGATGGGGGCAGGGAAGCATGCAGCCCCCCTGGGCGGTGGCTTAGTCTGTGCACTGCTGTGGCTCAGCTGGAGGCATGTTCACTCTCCAGCTTCCTGGGCAAATCTGAAAGTTTTCCAGAGTGAGCAGACAAAAAAGCTGGACCCACATGCTATGTTATTATAAATCGTGGCACATAGAATGTCTCCCCCGGGCAGGGAGGGCCGCAGTCTCATCCTGGAGGACGCGGTGCTGGCCAGGTCCAACATCTTGGGTCTCTGGGCCACTTGCCCCCCCTCTAAAATTTAACTGGCATATGATGATTGTGTACCCTCTGGGCTGGGCCCTGGGCTGGTGACACCCATGGGACACACGTTCAGTCAGGGTCACAACCACAACCCTTAGTGCTCCAGCTGACCCACAGAGAAAGGAGAGGAACACTGCCTGGGCCAGCAAGAGCTTGTGGCAGAGGGACTGGCCGAAGGACCTGCAAAGGGATCCTGACAGGCCAAGTGCATGTGCAAAGGCTTGGGTGCATGCAGAGTGTGGTGTGTTTGGGAAAGCGTACATTTGCTTCTCTGAAGGTGGGAGGACAGGAGACGAAGCTGCAGAGATGGGTGGTCAGTCGGGACCAGGCTTTGGAAAGGGCTCCCAATTGGGGAGGAGACAAAAAGCTTACATACTCCAGTCTTGGGAGTCTTCACTAAAGCTAAATGACTTGGGACAACTAAAGGGTTTTTATAGCAGGGCTGAGGTTCATTTTCTCATTCAACAGATATTATTGAGAGCTTTCTGGAAAGCTTGAGGTAGTACCCTGGGCCTGGGATATGACCTGCTGTGCCAAGACAGACAGAGTTCCCCCAGCAGCCCCAAGCCTATAACCATCAACAAGTAAATGCCTAAGTGAGCGGATGACAAATGTGACAGGTGCCGTGATTGGGATGCTGGCTGATCTGTGAGTAGAGGGCAGTCAGAGGAGACCTCTCTGAAGAAGGCACATTGGAAGCGGGAGGAGTGGGGACTTCCCAGGTAGAAGGAGCAGCGTGTGTAATAGCCCCACAGCGGGAAGATGGGCAGTGGGGGCAGGGAACCCAGAATGGCCAGAGTGTCACGTGGGAAGGGCCAAGGGCAGTCGTGGGCCTGTTTTTCATCCCCTTGCCCTGGAGAAAGACAGTGCTCAGAGCTGAGGGACACCTGCCACCCAGGGAGCCCCCCAAGGCACTGAAATCCTCCCTGTTAGTCACACCACTTATCTGACTGTGACCTCTGCCCCAGGAGACGTAGAAAATCCAAGAGAAGTTCACCTTTCCTCTTCTTATATCTGGCCATGTGGCCTGGCCCCTTGCTAGTTCACTTTTCCTCTGAGTGTATGTCAGCAGGACTTTGGACCTAGACAACTCTGAGCGAGAGGCTGGAGGGTCAGTCCTGTGTCCAAGCTCCTGACTGTGGGCACCCCACCAGCCCCTGGCAGGGACGCCTCTTCCCCACACACATACTAATGACAGACCACGTCACAGATGGGGACAAGGACCCTGACAGGTCCCACAGCCTCGGCCAGGCTTAGAACACAGTTCTTGCTCTGCTGGGCGCTGTTGGCCATTGGCTTCAATGAGCTGCTCTTAAGGTCCAGCTCTTTCAGGAAAACTTCCCTGGGGTTGGTCAGAGAACCAGCCCAGCCTGTTCAACCAGTGACCCAAGGGCGGCTCACCACTGCCCACCCCCAACTCCAGGTCTAGCTCACTCTGTACCAGAAACTAGTAGGAGCCATGCCAGCCCGGGGCCTGAGCCTTACTGTTTATGATGTAGCCTGTATAATCCCTCCCTGTGGCCACCAAGTTAGTATAGGACAGAGCTGGGATCTGAACTCAGGCTTGTCTGGCTCCCTATTGCCTTCTGTCTTCTGGCTCCTTCCCACTAAAGAAATGACTCGCAAATGGTAGAATTTCAAGCAGTGGAGAGAAGGGATTCAGAGCAGGAACCCCCTACCCTTGAATGAAAATGAATGGGAAAATGCTTTTGAGTTTGTCAGGGGCCGTGTGAATATCGTGTATTACATGGGTTAGAACCCCTCCCCGCCCACTGAACAGAGGAAGGTACTGGAGAGTCCAGAGTGGGCCAGGACTTCCATGAGTAATTGCCAGGGCCTAGAAGGCAGGCCTCTGCCTTTAGGCTTTTCTCCCTCCAGCAGTTGGATCTCAGCTTGGACATGCCCCCGCAGGCAGACTCCAGAGTCTAGCAGGACACTGCGAGGCACAGTGCTCAGCAGGGGCCCCAGACACCTGCAGCCCCCTCCTAGCAGGGAGGGGCCTAAAGCCAGAGCAGCAGAGTGAGGGAGGCTGTGCAGCTGAACAGATGGGGGGTGCCACTTATGTCAGCAGCTCTAGGTAAGTTATCTGACCTTTGTGACCCTCACATGCCCCACCTGTAAAGTGGGCACAATCCTATCCCCACCTCAGAGTCACTGTGAGGTTTAAATTACAAAGCCATAAAGCTGCTGAGTACAGCTCAGTGAATGACCCAGCTTGGGGCCGTGAGCCCGTGCCTATGGCCAGCTGCCCCCTCTTCCCCGAGCAGGCCGGTCCCTTCTCCTGCAGGGCAGTATGTGGAAGGGTCATGCTCCTGCTGGCCACAGCCCCGCCTTCTGCCTGCCTTGCTGCCTGTCTCCTTCCGCCCATGGGCTGCCCTTCTCAGGCTGGTAGGGAGAGACTCGGGGTGTGTCTGTCTGGAGGGATCCCTGAAGTTTTTGCAAGGCTTCAGCAGGACTGGGAAATTCTGAGCAGAGTGGGAACTGAGTGCTCCTGGCTCAGAGCTCCCAGAACCCTTTGTCACCTCCAGACCCAGGCGTGAGGCCCAGCTCCTGGCTCCCAGGCTCTTCCACTGTGGCCCCTGTTACTGTTCAAGGACTCATTTCACAGCCCGTTCTCTGCTGAGGCTCCTAGTTTTCCTGGAGTCTGTATAGCGCCTGACCTAACACGTGTCTGTCAGATGAACCGACAGAGAGAATGGCTCTTTAAATTTTTTATTTTTAGGTGATTGCCATTTACAGGGTTGTAAGAAATAATACAGAGGATCCTATCTGCTCTTTTCCCAGTTTCCCTCGATGGTAAAGTCTTGCACAACTAGCAGAACATCATAACCAGAGTATGGATATAGACACCAGCCAGCTGGTCTTACTCAGATCCCACCATTTTCCCGTTACTCACTTCGGGTCCAGTGCTGTGCGGGTTCATGTGTCCGCCATCTGTCCCACTTCTTAGCACACGTAGGGTCCTTGTTACCCTTTTATAGCCACACCCATCTCCCTCCCAGCCTGCGCATCCCCCTCTCCCCTTCATCTCCCTGTCAACCACTGACCTGTTTCCCATCTCTATCATCAGGCCATTTCAAGAATGCTTTATAAATAGAGCTGTATGGTAGATACCTTTTTGGGATTGCTTTTTTCACTTGGCATAATTCACTTAAGATTCATCCAAGTTGGTGCCTGTACCAGGAGCTGGTTCCTTTTCATTGCTCAGTCGTATTCCACGTTCAGGATGTGCCACAGTTTGTTACACCGGTCACTGAAGGGCATCCAGGGTGTTTCTAGTTTTGGGGCCAGGACAAGTAAAGCTGCCATGAACACTCATGTAGGAGTTCTTTGTGAATATGTTCCCATTTCTATGATAAAAAAAATGCCCAAGAGTATGGTTGCTGGGTGGTGTGATGATTGCATATTTAGTTTTAAAGGAAACTGCCAAAGTGCCCCTGGCTGGCTGCCAATAGAGCCTGTGACTCTTGATCTCCAGGTTATGTATTTGAGCCCCTAAGTAATACAGATTACTTACAAATAAAATCTTAAAAAAATAAATAAACTGCCAAACCATGTTCCAGGGTGGCAGTACCATTTTGCATTCCCAACAGCAATGTATGAGTGATTGTTTCCCCGCATCCTCACCAGCACTTGGTTTTGTCACTGTTTTGCAATTTAGCTATTCTGATAGGGCTGTGTAGTGATTCTCCCCAGTGGCGGACGGATTGTGCTGTGCCTTGCCGCCGCCCCCCGCCGCACCAGGCCTGGTTTTGTGGGTTTCTGCTAGGCCGTCGGCATCATGGTGATCAGTAGCCCCTTGAAGGCAGAGCGTAAAGTCACTCATCTGGCTCCCACTCCCAGCCTGGGTATAGGTTTGTTTTAGTCCTCATGGAGGAAAGGGCATTTGCTGTCGGATCTGACCCCGCCCCTCGAAGCAAGTAGGGAGTGATGTTTGAATAGCACCTTCTGTTTCAGACAAAGAGCTGAGCATTTAATAAGAAAGCAGGGGTGGGCCTTCAGCGTTCTGTGCCCCTGCTGTGGGCCAGCCCCAGGCCAGGCTGGAATGAGATTCAGACCCCCAGCTCCCACCCTGGTAGGTCCTGGTTCCCTGAAACATGGTGGAGAATGGGGACTCGGACCAGCAGTGGTGGAGTATTGAGGGAGGCAGACTGGTGTATGAGGTTTTTCACGTTACTGGGCGGAATGGGGGGGTAGGGATAGCAAGATGGGAGGATAGGGTTAACTGGGCCCTAAAAGAGGTGTTGGTCTTTGACCAGACAGGGAGGGGGTATCCAGAGGGAAGGTAGAAGAGGAAAAGTCCAGGGGCAGCAGTAGGTCTCTCAGTGAGCTTGAGGAGGAAGCAAGATTAACATTCCTTAGCATTCCTGTCCTCTACTCTGCAGTCACTGCCTCCCCTGGCACTGGATCAGGCTGTGTCACAGCCTGTGGCACCACGAACTTTATCATCTAGCCCAGGCCCCAACTGGAAAATAACCTTTGTATGGGACTATGAGGTGGAGGATGTCTTTGGCCCATGCTGGCATCCCCAGCTAGACATGGCCTTGGCCTAGCAGGAGGGTGGGCAGGGCCTGTGTCTGTCTTGGTCATTGCCATGTCAGACCCCAATTCTCCTGCTCCAGAAATCCTTAAGGCCAGACCTAGGGCCAGTCAAGTGGGGCCTCAAACTTGAAAGAGATTCAAGAGGGTTGGGATTTTACCTTCTCCCTGCCCTCCTCTCCCATCTGCAGGTTCATCATGCCTAGTGGCGTATAAGAAGACCCCACCACCGGTCCCTCCACGTACCACGTCAAAGCCCTTCATCTCTGTCACGGTCCAGAGCAGTACTGAGTCTGCCCAGGACACCTACCTGGACAGCCAGGACCACAAGAGTGAGGTGACAAGCCAGTCGGGCCTGAGCAACTCGTCGGACAGCCTGGACAGCAGTACCCGACCGCCTAGTGTGACACGGGGCGGAGTCACCCCAGCCTCGGAGGCCCCTGAGCCACCCCCAAAACATGCAGCTCTGAAGAGTGAACAAGGGACGCTGACCAGCTCCGAATCCCACCCTGAGGCCATCCCCAAAAGGAAACTGTCATCTATAGGAATACAAGTAGGGGTCCCTTTCGCACTCGTGTCCTCAGCCCACTCTGTGCACCTGCCTGTGTGTAATTACATCTGGTGGAGGCCCGCTAGGTCTCCGGGGCAAAGTGGTTTGTCTGTATTTTGGGGGGTTGGCCCCACGTGGCCGGCCAAACCAGATTCCACCCACAGCCACACATTCCTTACATTTGCCCACTCACGTTGCAGTCTGCAGCTGTGGGCCCGTGGCCCTGCTCCTGTGATGGGCTGCCCCAGTGAATGTAGTTACACTCAGCCAGCCATCTCCTGTCCACTGTTCACTTGTCCACTGTCTGTCTGTCCACTCCACCCTTTGCCCTGTCAGCCAACGCGTGGGAGGTGGGACTGGCCTAACAGTTCTCTAATCCAAGGTCAGCTCGGGTGCGGAGGCCGCAGCCCCGCTTGGCGGGGGGAGCAGCATGGAGCGTAGACGCCGAGGGGCCTGGGGCCCGGGACCCAGAGCCCTTGAGCCATGGGGGTTGCTTGAGGGGAACATTACCCAGAGCCCTCTCGGGCCCTGGGGACAGGTAGGTGGCTCGAGGCACCAGGCCCATGTCAAATTGAGAAGTGTGATGCTGGTCCTGATGCCTCCCTCCACAGGAAGGGTATCCAGGCAGATATTTCCCCAGGACCAAGTGGCCAAAGCCAGCAGAACCTCCTGGAAGCCAAACTCACTGTACACCCACAGCCGTGGCCCACAGCGGGGCAGGGCACACCAGCTTCCCCTCCACTGCTTCACTGCGCCTTCTGCATGCACCAGACAGCAGCACTCTGTCTTCTGGCAGCCGAGCTGGGGCACCTGGAGCCCTGCTCTGGCCGGGTCTGACTAAAGTGGACCACACTCCGGGCAGGGAGGGAGGGAGGGCAGCTACAGGGAGCCTTGAGCTTGGGGAAGGCGGACCCCTCAGGGAGGTCAGGTTGGTGTGTGTTGTGGCTTGGGGCTGCAAGGGCTCCCCTGAGCAACCAGATACGGCCAAGTGGATGGCAGAGAGCTAAAATGCCCGAGGAACTTGAGACACGGAGGAGACCAAATGGCTCTGACCAGAGAAGACTCACTAGCCAATTTCTTGCACTGTCCTGAATTATTTTCCCCCTAAGAGGTAACTCAGGGCTTCAGTTTCCCCACAAATACAGGAACAGAGTTGTCCAGGAGACTAATGGTTTCTGGGATCCTTCATAAGGAGTCCAGCCCCTGCCCTGTGCAGCTGCTCCAAGAGGGATTCTTAGAGACATCAGAGTAGCCTAGTCTCTTGGGTCTTGTCACCCAGGGTTGTTGTTTGGGCAGCCCCACCCTCTCCTTGGCCAAACCAGAGGCTGCTGTCTTCCGAAGGTCTGAGTTAGGTTCACCGTTGGTTCCTTTCATCTAGAAAGTCACATGGGGTTAAGGATCCTAGCTCTTGGATCCATCCTGGGCTTCTCCTCCCTAGGATTAATCCCCTCCCCAGGCCAAGCTCTTGTCGCAGCTCTTTGAGATCCATGACGGTGCACTTCCCTAACAGACTCTTACTGTAGGAGGAACGCAACCGTATCCGCATGGCGAGGAGCCTGGTGCCTGGCCCTTGCCCCAAAAAGCCTTGTGACCCCTGCCATATCTGTGAAGACAAGGGACTGGGAGTCCCCAGTTTCCAAGGATACCCTGACAACCCTCATCCCACCCCTTGGTACCCTCATTCAGGAGCAGTGACGGAAAGGCTGGCCTGCCTGCTTCATGGCCATGCCTCTTGGTCCCAGAGAAGAAAGGCAGACTTGGGGCATGACTGCTGCCCGGTTTCCTTCCACTTTAACAGGCGTGTAGAAAAAGTGCTAGCTTTTGCACTCGGCCCTGGCCCTGGTCCTGCCTACTGCTCCCCAGGCCCACCCACTGTTGAAAGTAACTTCAGCCATCCAGGCCCAGGGATGGCATCCCAGAGTGTCCTGGAACCTCACCGGCTATCACCTTGGGGTAGCTTCCAAATCCAGAACCGCTGTCCAAGGTTTGTCCCTGATACAGGCGCCTCCAGCCTGCCCTTCAGCTGCAGGGTTGGGGGGAGCGATCTTTGCCTCGAGACAGCCCCCAGCTTTGACTACACCAGATAACGGCTGTGGCTTTGTGTGTGTGTGTGTGTGTTTTCTTTCTCTCTCGTCGTCCTTCTTTTTTTTCTTCTCTCTGATGCGTGTAAAGGAGAGGACTAGAAGGAACGGTTCCCACCTCTCGGAGGACAACGGACCCAAAGCAATCGATGTGATGGCACCCTCCTCAGAGTAGGGAAAGCCAGTCATCTCCACCCCATCCCACCTCCCGCCCACCTGCCCGCCCGCCTCCGCGCGAATGAGCAGTGCCCGGCTTCACTGGGTCCGGCCTCGGGCCCACGTGCAGTGTCCGCATGCCTCGTGCCTGTCTGTCCTTCTGCGTCGTCCCACTAATGTGAATTTCAGCAGCAAGTGTGGTGTTTGTTTTTTATTTTTGTCTTTGTCTCCGTGCCGTTGCTGTCGTTGTCCTTCAATAAGGTTGACTGCATTCAGCCAGTGCCAAAAGAGGAGCCCAGTCCCGCTACCAAATTCCAGTCCATCGGGGTTCAGGTAGAGGACGACTGGCGGTAAGTCGCACAGAGGTGGTGGCTGCTTCTCCCCCTCCTCTCCCTCCCTCTGCTCTCATCTCTCCTGCGCCTTCTCCTCCTGCTCTCCCTAACCCACTTCTCCTTGCTGGATTTCTAATAACCAAGCTGGGTTTGGGGTTCGGGCAGTGGCCCAGGCATGGGAAGCTGGGCGGGCCAGTAGTGAGCGCTTGCTCTGCGAGACTAATCAGCCCGCGGGCGGGGGGGACGGCGAGGCCAGCAGAGACATGGCCCAGCACCCCAATGTTGGTGGTCTTCCTGGCCCCACTGCAGTAAACAGGCAACCTTATGACCTTGTCCGTGTGTGTGTGTGTGTGCGCGCGCGCGCGTGTGCGCGGATGGGTGGGGCGAGGGCTGAGCAGAGAATGAGACGGGGGCTGTGGGACCCGCTTCAGGTGCATGGTGAGCAGACGATGCATCCGTTTCTCTGTCTCCCGTGTGTCCGGGTCGGGGTGGCCTCTGGTCTCTGGCCCTCCTGGTGACTCTCACCTCTTCCTGTCCCCCCCCCCCTTCCCCCCCCCCCCCCCCAGCCGCGCCCCCCCCCCCCCCCCCGCCCCCCCCCCCCCCACCCAGCCCCCCCCCCCCGCCGCGCATTTTTTTTTTTTTTTTTTTTTTTTTTTTTTTTCCCCGGACTGTACCCCACACCCCAACTCCATCAGCATCGATGCCGGGCCTCGGCAGGCCCCCAAGATTGCCCAGATCAAGCGCAACCTCTCCTATGGAGACAACAGCGACCCTGCCCTAGAGGCGTCCTCGCTGCCCCCACCCGACCCCTGGCTTGAGACCTCCTCCAGCTCCCCAGCAGAGCCAGCGCAGCCGGGAGCCTGCCGCCGGGACGGCTACTGGTTCTTGAAGCTACTTCAGGCAGAAACAGAGCGGCTGGAGGGCTGGTGCTGCCAGATGGACAAGGAGACCAAAGAGAACAACCTCTCTGAAGAAGGTGAGTGCTGCAGGGATGGCCCCTGGGCTGGAGGGAAGGGGGCCTGGCTCATGGCCCAGGTTCCCTTCTCAGAATGGAGGCAAGGCCTAGAGAACGCACTGAGAGCCTTCCCATAGGAACCAGGTGGCCTGCCGGCCGGCCTCAACCCTCCCTGTTCATGTCCACGGATCTCGTCCACAGGTCCCAGCAGCCGTGCGTTCTGGTATTTCCTACTGCGGCTTTTGTCTTTTAAATGGGATGCCTTGTGTTTCCTCTCAAATTCATCATCAACATGGAGATTTCCTGCTCTGAGAGAGGAGCAGTTAGCTCTGTCACGTCTGCCTCCATGTCGGACACCACCATTTGGGGTTAAATAACCACCAGTAGTTCTGGGCACCGTGAGGATGGAAATACCGATCACTGCAGAGCCTAATAGCGTCCGATGATGATATTTCCTTTCCCACATTTTATTTTTCCTAAAATGAAGGACTGCCTCATCTTTTTTACACTTCATTTTTTAAGCTCTAATTTGTTACTTTCTGACACGTCCCACCACATCTGCCAGCCTACGTCGGTGTTATTTCCCCGATATGCACACATATCAGATAACCTCATGATTTCATCTTTTTCCCGGTGCCCTCTAGTTCTCTGTTCTCATCTGGCCAGTTCACTCTCTGGGCCTGTTGCCTAGCTGCTGTCCAGAGACTTCCCTTTTTATCACCTGGGCCTGCCCTTGGCCACTGTCCCATGGTGGACACCCCACTTTCCAGACCACATGGCCTTCTGCTTTCTTGGCTGTAGTCCCTCATTTTGCTGCCACACACCTTCAATTCGAGATAAATTTTTGGAAACTCTGTATCTTTATTTAGACCTCACATGGTTGGGCTGGGTGTAAAGCTGAAAATAATAAATTATGTATGTAAATGTGTAGATTTATAGGAGTGTGTGTGTGTGTGTGTGTGTGTGTGTGTAAAAATAACCTATAAATATATATACCTCTTAACACACACACACACATATACATGTATGTATGTATATATGTGCACACATGTACATACATACATACACACCTATAAACATAAAGTTGAAAATCATTTTCCTTTAGAATCTTTAAGGCTATATTGTGTTTAGCTTCTGTTACTTGAACTGAAGAGTTTGATGCATTCTGCTTCTCAGGCCTTTGTGTGTTTTTTATCAATGGAAGCTGTTAAGCTCTTCACTTGACCTCTCTTGTGAAATTCCTCAGTGCCATGCCGAGGACTGGGGCCTTGTTCATGTGCCAGCAGCGGATAGGCCCCTCCTAGGTGGAGACACAGGTCTTTTGTTTCTGAGAAATAGCCTTGCATTAACTTTTAGGTGGTTTTTTGTTTTGTTTTTTGTTTTTACAATTTTCTTTATTTGAGAGAGAGCACAAGCAAGGGGATTGGCAGAGAGAGTGGGAGAAGCAGACTCCTCACTGAGCAGGGAGCCTGACATGGCACTCCGTCCTGGAACCCTGGGATCATGACCTGAGCTAAAGGCAGATGCTTAACTGACTGAGCCACTCAGGTGCCCCACCTTGCATTTACTCTTAAAAATAATTTCCGGGGCGCCTGGGTGGCTCAGTGGGTTGAGCCGCTGCCTTCGGCTCAGGTCATGATCTCAGGGTCCTGGGATCGAGTGCCGCATCGGGCTCTCTGCTCAGCGGGGAGCCTGCTTCCCTCTCTCTCTCTGCCTGCCTCTCTGTCTACTTGTGATCTCTCTCTGTTAAATAAATAAATAAAATCTTTAACAAAAAAAATAAATAAATAAAATAAAATAAATAATAATTTCCTCACTTGAATTGTTCTCTCTCTCCAAAATTCCCATCACTCAGACGTGGGACCTGTCAGGTGGAGCCTCAGCCTCTGATCTTTTCTTCCTCATATCTATCTTTCAGGTGTCTCTTTCTGGAAGGCTTTCTTTCTCTTTACTTTTTGTCATGCTGTAACAACTTTATTGATCTGTGATTCACATGCCATGAAATTCACCCTTTTAAAGTGTACTGTTCAGTGGCAGTTAGTACACTCACAGTGTTTTACAACCGTCACTACTAATTTCATTATCATTGCTCCAGAAAGAAACCCTGTAACTATTAGTAGTCCCTCCTCATTGGCTCCTCCTCCTTAGCTCTTAGAACCACGTTCTCTCAGGGGATCTGCTGTTCTGGATACTTATACAAATGGAATCCTGCAATATGTGGTCTTTTGTGTCTGCTTCTTTCATTTTGCATGAGGTTCTCAAGGTTCGTCCAGGTTGTGGCATCTGTCAGCACTTCCTTATTGCTGAACACTCCAGCACTTTGAGTAGACTTCATTTTATCCATTCACCTGTTGACGGACATTGGTTTGTTTCCATTTTCAGGCTAGTGTCCAGAACACTGCTGTGAACGCGTGTGTGTTTGTGTGGATGTGTGTTCATTTCTTTTGGATACGTGCCTAGGAGTAGAATGGCAGGATCACAGGGTAACTCTACGTTCAACGCTCTGAGGAACGTGCCAAACTACTGTCCACGGTGGCTGCACCATGTAACGTTCTCGGAAGTAGAATGTGAGGATGCTCATTCCTCCACATCCTCCCCAACATTTGGAATTATTGGTCTTTTTGAATCTAGCCATCCTAGTGGGTGTGAAATAGTATCTCCTTGTGGCTTTAATTTGTATATCCATGGCAGCTAATAATGTTGAGCATCTTTGCGTATAACCTGTTGGCTCTTTTTTACATTTTTGTTGGAGAAATCTTTAGAGATTTGGAGGTTTTCTTGCTTTATCTCCAAACCTTGTCCATCAGGTGCTTCCTATGGCCATTCATGTAAGAGGTCGTTCTTCCTCTGTTCCTTCTTCGAGGTATTTTTTTTTTTAAAACATGGATGAAGCCAACTCTTATTCTTTTCTTTTTTTTTTTTCCAAAAATTTTATTTATTTATGTAACAGAGAGAGAGGGAGAGAGCACAAGCACAGGGAGTAGCAGGCAGAGGGAGAGGGAGAAGCAGGTTTTCACGCAGAGCAGGAAGCCCAATGCCAGGCTCGATCCCAGGACCCTGGGATCATGACCTGAGCGGAAGGTAGACACTCAACGATCTGAGTCACCCTGGCACCCCAAGCCCATTTGTTAATTGGGTTGTCTTTTTATTGTTGAGTTGCAAGAGTTCTTTAGATGTTGTGAATAGTGGCACCCGTATACATGGTAGTTTTTAATTCTGATGTAGTCCTATTTTTCTTTCACTGCTGAGCTTTTACTTATTTTTAAAGTTATGAATATATATTAATTTAATAAAAGTTAAAATAAGGGGGGTGCCTGGGTGGCTCAGTCAGTTGGGCATCTGCCTTCCCCTCAGGTCATTTTTCCAGGATCCTGGGATTGAGTCCCTCATCGGGCTCCTTGCTTAGTGGGGAGCCTGCTTCTCCCTCTGGCTGCCGCTTCCCCTGCTTGTGCTCTCTTTGTCAAATAAATGAGTAAATTATTTTTAAAAATTAAAATTTGGATAAAAACATCAAGGCACTGAGAAACTAGCAGCTCTATGTGGGCAGGGCTTGTTGAAAGGTAGGCTTCTGGAGCACCTGGGTGGCTCAGTGGGTTAAGCCGCTGCCTTCGGCTCAGGTCATGATCCCAGAGTCCTGGGATCGAGCCCCGCATCGGGCTCTCTGTTCTCTAGGGGAGCCTGCTTCCTCCTCTCTCTCTGCCTGCCTCTCTGCCTGCTTGTGATCTCTCTGTCAAATAAATAAAAAAAATCTTTAAAAAAAAAAAAAAAAAAAGGTAGGCTTCTGTGGATACCTCAGAAAACTGATTTTAAATAATATATAGTAGAAATTATATCAAAATAACAAAGGAAACCAATTACATTAATAGAGAGTTATCAAAATGTATACTTTTTTAACACATTAAATGACACGGGGCGCCTGGGTGGCTCAGTGGGTTAAAGCCTCTGCCTTCAGCTCAGGTCATGATCTCAGGGTCCTGGGATCGAGCCCCACATTGGGCGCTCTGCTCAGCAGGGAGCCTGCTTCCCCCTCTCTCTCTGCCTGCTTATGGTCTATCAAATAAATAATTTAAAAAAAAAAAGACATTAAGTAACACAATCTAGCAGTGAGTCTAATTACTATAATTTCCAAGTAGTGATGACAGTAAACATTATTTCAAGATAACTGTGACAGCTATAATGTGATATGAAATTCTGTGATTTCTATTGGTGACAAAGTGACAGGTACTGCTAACATTAAAGTGGTTTATTGCCATCTGAGTTTAAGCACATCCTGCTGGAGGGTGACAAACTCGCCCTTTCCTTAGGGGAAGACCTTTAAATGTCAGTACTCCTTCTCTGCAATCCTACAGAATGTTCTTCAGAGAAGAATAATCTTCTTGTTTCTCTAGGGGTCAGTATTTCCTCTGATACTATTGCTCATGTTATAAAATTAATGATTTTGTGAGGCACCTGGCTGGTGGTAGAGCGTCAATTCTTCATCTTGGGGTTTTGCCTTTGAGCCCCACATTGGGTGCAGAGACTACTTAAAAATAAAGCCTTTAAAAAAATCAGAGTACCTGGGTGACTCAGTCAGTTAAGCAACCAGCTCATGATTTTGGCTTAGGTCATGATCTCAAGGTTGTGAGATCGAGCCCTGCATCAGGCTCTGTGCTCAGCAGAAGTCTGCTTGTCCCTCTCCCTCCAAGCCCTCTGCCCCTCCCCTTGCATGGGCATGCTCTCTCTTTCTCAAATAAATAAATAAATAAAATAAAAATAAACTATTGATTTTTTTTTTAGATTTTATTTATTTATTTGACAGAGATCACAAGTAGGCAGAGAGGCAGAAAGAGAGAGAGAGAGGAGGAAGCAGAGAGAGAGAGAGAGAGAGAGAGAGGAAGAAGCAGGCTCCCTGCTGAGCAGAGAGCCGGTTGTGGAGCTCGATCCCAGGACCTTGGGATCATGACCTGAGCCAAAGGCAGAGGCTTTAACCCACGGAGCCACCCAGGTGCCCCTAAACTTAATGATTTTTTAATCACTGTAAT